ATAATAGCTAATGGTTGCATTATTATGAAGTGTATGGAATAGGTTTCCACACCAAATCTGAGCCGTGATGATAATAGCTAATGGTTGTCGACAATCAATTTCCTGCATTGTGTAATTTTTACTATTACTATTTTAAATTATGATACCATCATTCTCCGTACGAATATGTATATAAATAGGGCCGTGCTAACCAGGTGCGCGAGGTTTTAAAAAAACAAGAAAAACAAGGGTGGCCGAAAATTTAGGATGGCTTTATAAATCAAATCAGAAAAAATTATCTTATAATTACTAGTAGCTAAAGTTAGTACACATAGTAATTTTATTATCGATTAGATCAGCGGTCGCCAACCTTTTGGACCTCACGGACCACTAAATACATCCTCAAAATTCTACGGACCACTTTTAGCTTAAAATAGCTTTTTACATAAATACCGTTAAATAAATTGATGAAGTATTTTTTTCGGTTATATTTAACTTGTTATTTTAATTGTTTGCTGAAAATTTTCCGACCACTTGCTACCAGCACTTATTATTTTATATTTATAGAAATATCATTGATATCTGTATAATCTATACATATATTATTATCATTATTATTTTATGACTAGTGTTATGAAATTTGTTGAGTTGGTTGAGTTGTTCATTAGTACATGCTGACGTGTTTGGTGTTCAATACGAGATAAATTATGACCGAACAAAGTGAAAACGACGACGCATTTGACACAGAATTGTTTATAGAAGAATTGCATAATTTACCATGTACTTGGAATTTAAACCTCAAACAGTTATAGTAATTGTATTACAAAAGCTAAAGCTTGGGAGTCTCTTTTTATTTTCAATAATAGGAATGACCCAAAATTGTCTCTTCTTACGACACCGTATTCTTCGCTGTAATAAAAGTAATAACAGTGCTTCCTCTTCAAAGTCCATTTTTACACTAGCAAAACATGTAATATTTTTATGTAAAATAGAACGTACGCCACATTTGCCGTTGTGGTGTGGTTATATTGACGTCGGTTCGGACTTCTAACGACCACAAAAAAGTTGTTTAAAAGTGGTCGATTTCGCCGACAGTACAACCACAATTTAACCACAAAAAATCGTTCACGAGTGGTTCCAGTGGCGTATTTAGGAATTTTGCTAGGGGGGGGATGAAATATATAATAATACATCCTAACACCCATAAATTCGTACATAATATACATTTTTAAAATCCCCTAACTTGTTACCTATTGAGGTTAGTGTGGATCAAGGCAAAATAAGAATTAATCTTTATAATTACCTCATCATTTTCCAAACAAATTTTTTTATTTGTACTAAAATAAGAAAATAAAGTTTTTTTTTGTTTTTGAGTATTACTCATATTGTCTTAAAACTTCACAGTTACAACTTACAAGACGCAAAAAATAAAGTCGAACAATAGTCAATTCGGCAGTAAGTCAGTACTCAGAATGGCGCGGCGTCGCTATCCGTCAACGACCAACGACCGTACATATCTACTTTTAACGAATCACGATATCATACGATAATATATATATATATATATATATATAGCTATACATTAGCCATAAATCTACTAGTAACAAATTTTCTAAAAATAAACCCGCCCGGCCGCCCTATGGTTAATCCACGGTCTTCATGGTCATTTTGTTTTGTTTACCGATTGCTTATCGGGTTTATTATAAACACTCTTGCATGAAAAATAATTCGCAGAAACGTACAAAATACAGTACACCATAATATAGGTATAGTTTTTGTTGCCTGATAGTCGTACATGCCGCCAACGATAAACGATTAGTGGCGATTAGTATACCAGACTATCAGAGCGGTACAATTACCGCGACAAGAACATTTAGAAAACAGAAAACATACATGCTTGAAAGTAATATCATATTAAGAATATTAGAGAAAATGAGACAACTTATAGCTACCTAGGAAAAAAAAAAAAGGTCAAGGGGGGGATCTATCCCCCATATCCCCCCCCCGTAAATACGCCACTGAGTGGTTCGTGTGAGCTTAGCCTAAGAAACATTTGTCGAAAACATATGTTATCGACAATGTTGTCGATAAAAATTAGAATTGTTTCTAAAATTTGTCACCGACAATTGTGTCAGCGACATTGTTATCAACAAATTTTTGTTTTCCATCCGAAGTGGGAAAAATTCGATAAAGTTTAAACATTGTCGCTGACAATGAGTTGACTCGTCCAGACCGGTCAAATTCTGTCGATTAGCATTTAGTAAATGCATCATATTTTATTTATTTATTTGATTTTCGTTCAGTTTTGCTTCGTCCGCCTATACGTAGTGTATATTTTTATTTTATTTTATTATTATTTTTACTCTTATATATTATATTAGGTATATTAAATTCTCCAGATAGACCAATGTCATCACGTTTAAGATCAGTCATTAAATCATTACCACTATATTTCTGCTATGTCTGACTAGGACGAACCCAATATCTCTTTTTGGAAGCCTTTCTTGCTTCTAAACTAAAAATTACACAAGTACATGCGGCAATCACCACGTCATTCTCGTTCCACATTTTGTCCAAAATTAAAATATTTTTTTTATTAAAATATGTTGCCTCGGTGTAGACGCATTTGTTTTTAAATTTTGTCGGTGACATTTAAAGAAACATTTTGCCACCGACATTGGAGACAAAGTCCGTGACAAATGTTTCTTGGTCTAGACGCGGCTTAACATAAAACATATTTTAAACAATAACTACAAATAATTGTAATTTTATTTTTGAAGTTTAACAAAACTCTTGACAAAGTATAGCTATGATATTTGAGGGGGGGAGCAAATTTGTTTCTGTAACATAAAATATATATTAAGATTATTTGTTCCAAGAGTTACCAAAAAATGATTACAAACCTCATTTTTGTCTTAAATCTATTTTTTATTTAGTCAAAAAATAATTAAATGTGACAAATTAAATTAAAAATGTCATGACGGTCAAAGGTTTTTTTTTTTTTTTTTGAGGATATTATATTTCTGACGCCCTTGGATTATTTTATATGGAAATAGGAAAGCAATAAAAAAATATCCTACAGAATTAATAAACAAACCTACTTTTAAAATGTAGTTTACATGATAAAAATTAATATTTATACAAAAATCATCATTTTTAATTTTACTATAAATTAGATTAAGAAGTGCATTACATTTACATTTAGTTCGATTATTTTCTCCGTAGGACTTTGAAGTACTATGTGAAGTTTATAGAATATCCTCCTCGTCTGGTCGAGATTCATCAATATCTTCTTACGACGATGAAGATGATGTAGAAATATCAAAAACTCCTAGAAGAGTAACATTCGGAGGTGAATTAATTAAAATAAGAAGTCCTGAAGTTTCTGATGATCCTGAGATAATAAGGCCTACTGGTATTCCAATACCAATCAAGCCTGCATTGAACATTCCAAAACATCCCAAAGACGAATTGAAAAACAAATCAATAAGATTACTAATTCCACGTCAGGTAAAAAGCACATTTATTCATGTAGTGTGTGTTTAATTAATAAGACAATAAATATTTTTATATTATTACTTAGTTTTTAAAAATTATGCTAATAACTAGAGTCCGAATTTGTATGCATTTACATATTTGTAATGAGTGTATGCATTTCAATGGGAGTAAGAAATGTGGATGATTTGTGCAACAGATAATGCATGGAAAAAAGTTTATTTTGTTTATAAATGCATATTTGAACATTTTTGCATATTCAAGCATATTTTGTATAAAAGTTTATTAAACCAATTATTTTGTTTCAATTTCATCGTAGAAATTATTAGTTCATTACCTACGTATTGTTGGGAAATAAATGTTATTCTCCGTATGTTATATTTTTGCACAGTTTCTGTTAAAATTATATCTCATTTATTGCAACACGGTCATCGGCAACAATGCTGACTGGTTTTATTATTAGACATATTTTTTAAACACGCCGCGTCGTGTTGTTGCGTTGCCATTGTCGGGCATAATCGCCAGTCAATAGTGCACTAGTGCTCATATATCTTTCGTGATCCGCGTTCCGTAAATTTATAAATTAAAATTTACATTTGATTACAATTTATAATTTTTAAAATGCCGAAAAGTCGAAGCGCTATTCCAACTTTAATAAAAACATGGATTGCTCTTTATAAAAAAACAGACCAAACCATTTTTACCGCGGACGGTTCTGTAGTGTTTTGTCAATTATATGACGAAAAAATTGTGTGCTCAAAAAAATTTCAATTACAACAACACGTTGATACCGCTTTACATAATAGTGCTCTAAAACGTAGAGGAAATAAAAACAAAAAACAATTATTTGTATTGGATGCAAAACCGAAATCTGGGGCCTGTTCCGCCAATACACTTTGCAACTTTTCACTTTGCACTTTTCAATTTCTGAAAAATGCAAAATGCAAAGTCTTTTCATTCCACATACGAGAATTGTATACTTTTCAAATGTGGTAACGTTTTGAAAATTACGTTACCACTTTTCAATTTCTTATCATGTTATCTAACAGCTGTTATCTGAACGCAATTTGATTTTTTGTTAGTCTGAAACATTGACGGTACTAACGGTCACATAATTCAAAGTATACTCATTCTCTATATATTCGCTGAGATCACCTTTCATCATAAATATCATCATTTATGAGTCATTCTAATCGTTACATAATTAACAATACTACTTAATCTTAACTAAGACTAAAGACTGTAACTAAAAATTCAAGTGAATCTTGATAAATTTAATTATTAAAAAAAAAAAATTTATAACTTTGCAAATTTCTATGGAGTAAAATTTCCGTCTGTATTTTTTATCAATGTTTAATGAACACTCTCTTAAGCTTTTCATCAAAAAATATAATTGTGGAATGAAAACAGAAAACAATGAAAAGTGGTAAACATTTCACTTTTCAGTTTGCATTTTTCATTTTTCATTTTCACTTTTTGGTGGAACAAAAATACAAATGAAAAGTGCAAAGTGCAAAGTTGCAAAGTATATTGGTGGAACAGGTCCCTGGTAACGTTTTTAATGTGGATCTTTGTGCAGCTTTGGTAGTTCCTAATATACCTTGGAATAAACTTCAAATTCCCGAATTCAAGAATTTTTTGGAGAAGTATACAGTTAAGCATATTCCTGACGAGAGTACATTAAAGAAAAATTATCTTGGTCCATGTTATGATAATGTTAATATTGCAATGAGAAGTTATTTGCAATTCAGATATTTAGATTGCTGTTGACGAAGCAACTGATACAAACGGCCGCTAAATAGCAAATTTAATAGTTGGGGTTTTAAAACATGATACATCGAGTCAATTCTATCTTTTAGCATGTAAAGAACTGCCTAAAACCAATCACTCTATAGTATCTCGGTTCATTAATGACAACTTAAATATGGCCTGCAGGGGAAAACGATGAAAACCTACGGTTGTTTTTATCAGATGTAGCACCATATATGGTCAAAACAGGAGATTCATTAAAGGTCTTTTACCCAAATATCGTTCACATAACATGTGTAGCACATATGTTAAACAGAGTAACAGAAAAAGTTAGAGAATTGTTCCCTAATGTAAACAAATTGATTAACAATGTGAAAAAAAATTTTTTTTAAGTCACCTTCTCGTATTCAAATTTATAAAGAAACACTACCCGGTTTGCCATTACCACCTGAACCAGTTATTACAAGATGAGGTACATGGATAGAAGCAGTTATATTTAATGTAAACAACTATGAAGGTATTAAAATTGTAATAGAAAAACTAGACAATGATTTGTCAGCAAGTGTAGAGTTGTAAGAAAATGTTCAATTTACCTATAGTAAAAAATGATTTAGCATTTATAAAAATTAACTTTTCTGAACTCATTGGGGCAATTACAAATTTAGAAGATCCTAAATTGACTTTAGTACAAACATTAGAGATTATGAAAAATATCATTTCAGAAATATCAAATATACAGGGTGACAAAGGTTCTATTTTAAAAACTAAAATATCACAATTGCGTCAAAAAAATAAAGGTTTTTAAGGTAATGAAACAAATTGGACTAATTATATCACGTAACAATGAAATACAACTTCCAGAAAACTTCAACCCTTGCTCTATGGCCAACATGAAGTATGCACCACTGACATCAGTAGATGTGGAAAGGTCGTTTAATCTTTATAAACACATACTAAGTGATAGAAGGACAAATATAACACCTGGGCACATGGAAAAATATATTATTGTCAACTCTTTTTATAATAATTAAAAATCATACATTGTATCTATTTATCAAAATATTTTTTATTAATAACAAAATTATGTTTTTATTGGTTTTAATTGTTTTTTTATAAAATGTCTTTACTTTGTATTTTTTTTTCATAAATATGTACCAAAGAAATGGTATAAGAGGATTTAATACATTTTTATTTTTAATTTTTATTATTCTTAATTAAAGTATTTGTTTTATTTGTTGAATATATTTTTAAATAATTACTGTTGTTTAATAAATGTTTAAAGTTGATGTCTATAATTAAAAAATTAAATTTTTCTAATTTTTTTGAATTATTATTTATTGAAGAAATTAAAAAAATATATTAAAATGCATATATTTTGGGTAAGAGCATGTTTTTGCATAATATTAAAAAAATAAGAGCATATCAAGTGCATATTTTGAAGGTTTTTGATGTATTAATGCATACTATTTTGGGCTTTTTGAGTGCATACAAATCCGGACTCTAGTTATTAATAATAACTCACTTTATTATTTTTAGTATTATGGTTTATGATTATTATTTATTGATACAAAATAGATTTAAAAATAAGCTTATCTTTTACCTATTGGCTCCTATCTTCTTTTATTTTAATTATTATTTATTCATTAATTATATTTTAGTTATTATTTTACATAATTAAATAATTTGAATCTGAGATTTATATTAAAATAATCATTGAAGCTTTGGAAAAAATATTAAGAACCGTAACAACTAATGACATTAGAAAGAAAATTATTATTTTTGGATAAAGCCAAGGTAGTTTCAAATTTTAGAAACTAATTTCTTCTTAGTTTTGATCTATATTCATTTCAACTTTAGCTTTATGAGGAGCTCTATTATTGTTTGATCTAATTAAACTTTGATAAGGTATAAACGATTTTGCAGATTTGTAACTAAAAAAACTCTACCAGAAATCTAATAGCCTATGAAATAATTTTAACTAGAATAATTTGGCCATAAGTCTTAGTTTTTTAAATTCTTTGCATTTAAAAAAAAAAACGTGAATAATTTTAATTATATGCACTTAAATTGCAATTTATGTAATTTTATACATAAATTTATATGTAAAAAGATATACTTATTACATTTAATATCACAAAAATATATGAGTAAAATATTTCCACATTCAATGGAGAAATAACATTTTTCAATATACCGTAATTTACACAAATATAAATGCGTCATTCAAGAAGGTATCTGAGAATCGACCTTTCCAGTTGTAGATTGAGATTCTTGATAATAATGAAAGTCTTTAGGCCTATAGTAGCATTGCGTGGTTGATGGTAAAATAGTGTAAATAGGTCGAAATCGAGACATTAGTCACGAAACACAATGCCCTACTTAAAGGGGTTGAAAATTAGCATTTGTGCGTGTTTCAGTTGTTAACGTATTTTTAACGTAGGTGCCTATGAATAAAAGTATTGGCATTAATAAATTGGGTCAAAGTAAAAAAATTTAAATTAAATAAAACTGTGTTTATTTATTGTTTACTTTTTATTATGATATAACGCAGACGATATAAAATGTAACTACTTTGTGTAAGGTCCAAGTGGATCAATATAATTAGTTTTTTTTAACAGCCATTGAGTCATATAATGCATAATTTTAGGTGGATGGTAAATTACTATTGACCATGCTAGAATCTATATAAACGTGACAGGAAATCTATAAACACCGTTTTGATCAAAGGTGAATAACCTCAAAATGTATTACTAATATATTTTTTATGTATATTATTTGTAATTTTTACATTTAAAACCAATGATATTTATAAATTGTCCATATTTAATGTTGACACTATAATTATAAATTGTATTCTCAGACGGAATTTCGTCGTATTGGTAATAATTTTTATCACAAACAAACAATCAATCAAGTGCGTCCAAACACCTTACCACCATTGCGACAGCCAAGTATTTATGCTATAAGTTTTCACATTTTTACATGTGTTTATATTTATCTACAACTTTTCAGATTTCAAACAATTTTCAAGCGTTCAAATAGGGCCGTGTTTAGGCACATATTTTAGAAGTAAAGTGGTGGATAGGTATGTTTGGTGGACTTTTTAAATCTATTGTTTGTACTTTGTGGTTATACAAATTTTTTTTTTAGAATATCATTTAATAAGGGATTTTTTTCCCCACATGCTATACTTTGTACTGAGAGGACCAACGGTTCATTTGATGTTAGTATGCTACTTTTATTTTAATTAATTTGAAATATTTCTAATTTTATATTATCTGTCCATCATTTATATTTATAATTGGGATTTGTACTTATTCATTATATATAATAGGTAGGTATTCGTAATTCAAAAAAGCGCAATATTTTTCTTTGGGAGCAAATTTAAATGCAGATGGTAGATAGGATTTTGTTTTTGACTAAGAAATCGTTTTGAAAATTGAAAATCAAAGGATTGGGATTTCACCTGTAGCTAAATATTTACATGTTATTTAAGTTATATCGATGTAGGTAATGTGCATCGGACTGATTTTTTAATAATAGATTATTTTATTCTTAAACATTTCAAGTATACATGTAGGTAGGTTAGAAACCTTCACTTTTTAATGATAAATATATATTTTACCATAATAACGTAATTAAAATTAGGCTTGGATGGAAGGGGGAAAGAAATAATAAATATTTACAGAAATAATTCACTGAACAATACCAATTTTTGGTACATCATTTCAATTCTTTCCATCTATTTATACATCAAACACATGGCAGTATTGTAAGCTAATTTTTATATATTTAATATCTACATGTCACGGTCGGTAAAATTTAGGATAGAAACGTTGATGGCGGGATACATTTGAAATTTACATATTTATAAACCCCTACCTAATATTGTAAAAATTATACATAAATACATTTTTAACTCAAGCAAAGAAGATTTAATCTCCCCCCCCCCATAGTAAGAACTCAGTAATAATCCAAAATGACCTAAATACGAACACGATCTTAACTTTTTTAAAATCTAAAAATAATACTTTCTAGTTAGTTATTTAATATCTATTTTAAGTCTTATAGTAAAAATATTTAAGTTCTGGTATTTTAATACTTTTATACTTTTCATAGTATCAAATTTAAATAGGTACTAACTTAAGTTCTTGTATGTTAATAAAGTAAGTACCTAAGTAATTTTTTGAACATCAGAAATTTTATCAACATAATTGATTTTTATTTTTCAATATCTATTAATATTAATATTTTAAAATCTGAAACGGATCTGAAATTTATTGGTTTCACCATAACGTTTTTATATTTTCTTATACTTCTTATATCTGTTAACTAAATTAGGACCAGAAAGACTTTAAGAATATATAAGTGGATATAAATTTTAATATTTGTTTCTTTATTGGCTTATATTTTAAGTTCTAACAAACAGACGCAATTTCTTTTTTTTTTTTTTTAGTATTTTAAATACATTTCAAAAGTATATTTTACAACGCTGCACTCAGAACATATCTGAAAAGGTTAAAACCATCAGGTTGTTAGTGAAATATAGAAATCTTCAATTTCACCAATTACATTTTATCTGCACTTAGCTTAAATATTTTTATTACACACAAATAATTAAATGTAAGGTTTAATTAAAAAAATATTAAGTTAAAGTATTATATAATTAGTTTAATTATGAAATACATTTTTAAATATTATTTTTTTCTTACAATCTTCTTATAGTACTTATTTGAAATGTATGATTGTTTTTCATACTTTTAATTATAAATTTTTGTTGATTTTAGAGAAATTATAAGATAACAAAAAATAAGAAAATGGACAAATCAGATAAAGAGTAAGTACAATATGAAACATTCTTATTATTTTGAAAATTATAAAATATTTAAACATATTTTAGTAAAAATGAAATTGACAATAATGTTCAAGTCATAAATTCCAAAAGAATAAATTCACAAAATAAATTAAAAATTATTGATATGTAATAAGAAAAAAAAAGAAAAATAATAAGAATATTTATTTTTAGTCTATAGATAAAATAAAATGTATTATAATACATTTTATTCTTAAAATAGAATCACACATATTAACATTTTCATCTATTCTAAAATTTTATTAGCTATTATGCAAACATACATTTTATTAAAAATATATACATAAATAAAAATATTTATAATTTTGTTTTAAGTAAAAATTTAAGAAGACAATCCTTCATCAAGATATTTGACCCTCATTCCATATTTTTGTTTAAGTTCATACCATTGCACAATTATTAAATCTGCAAAGAAATACATTATTTTCCCAGTTAAAGATAAAGTATTTACCCGACAGATACTTTCTACAAATATAATTGATGTATCTACATAATGAAATAATTTCACTAAGAATGCAACAAAACATACTGGAACACAAGTGCCTGGACCATTGCATAGTACTAAATCGGGTTTGAATGATATAACTACAGGCACAGTCATAAAAATAGAATAAATAGTAGAAAAAATTGACGTTAAATATGATTGATTTACATATCTGGATCGTGGTATTTTGACTATAGACCAGTCTATGCCACATTCTTCATTTTCCACTCTGATTTGGCTTGTTGTATCTGTATTAGCTAATAAATACAAACGTGGTGTAAACTTTTTCTTGTTCATTTTATTCATTAAACGCAACATTTCAGCTGTATGTCCACCTGAACCAATGACAATTAGTGTACGAGCAGGATGTCTTAATGTTTTGAGTGAACGATTACCAATAAGACATTGCATAATCAAATATATAAGACGAGCAGAAAAGTAGGCTGAAAATATAGTTGGAATCAGCAACCACAAGATAAAAAACAACATATCAATTGATACAATTTTAAAATTACTGAAGTACACTTTAATTTTATGTACGATTGATTACACCATAAGAAGAAGCATTTGATATCAGTAAATAAATAAAAATTAAAATAACTAAAATAATATAAAACATGTACGAGCTTAGAAATATTTTTTTTAAACATATAGATGTTATCTTCAAGAAAATAATTTTCACATTTCACACTCCACGAGTATTTGATAAAATATATGATAATAAATTTTAACGATAATGTTTCTATGGTTACCGCATATCAATATTTTTATATAGTTATACAAAACAAAATTAAGATGTTTTAAATTTGAAGTAACGTTCATTTCTAGAAAACCAGATTTTAGTTACGATAGAAAGATTAAAAAAAAATGAGTCACTTATCATTGTTCGACTATAAAAGTATAGAGTTTTATATGAGGTATATTTTTAATATACATATAAAACTGTATAAGTTGTATGGTTGACACACTGATAAAGTAATTTTCAAATAATACTTTTCCCTTATTTTTTTTATTTTAAGCACACTTTTCAGCTGTACGCTAAAGATGTCAACTGTTAAACTATGATATTTTTGATATTTATGAGTGTGCTATGATTTTTCAAAAAATTTTAACCATTCATTTTATCTTTACATATAATTATGTAGGTAGCAATTTATTAACGACGTACCAACCTACTTATTAAAACTTGATAATATTTTTAAAGCGCGCCCATAGGATAAAATCCTACCCAAGGCAAGATTAAAATTCTAAAGCCAAATCAAAAAGGTTATTTTATATTTTAATATATTTCTGGTATCTTCGTTCTAAAATAGCATAACCTACATAGAAAAAAAACATTACGTTATCACATATGTGTAGGTTTACAATACAAGATTAATAGTTTTTTAATATATGTTAATGTAGATGTTACAAATTAATTATAGTTATATTAAATATAAAATAAAATTTCTATGCCTCTTGGTTGCATACAAAATAATTGTATAACATCTTCAATCATTTTTTTTTAAATTTTTTTTCATAACTACAGTAAATATTCTAAACTAATAAATATGTACAAGATTATCTAAAAATATAAAAAAAATTTACTTAACTTCATAAATGGATCTCAATAAAATTATGTTTTGATTAATATGCGTGGCATATAATTTATCAATAGTTTTGAAAAGTTCACAGTAGGAGAAAAGACCCCTTTGTCCCCCCTCCTGCGGGCACCCTTGATCTTATGATGCAAATTTATTACAATACCTATTTCTAATATTTAATTTCTAACTAAAAATTTCAAATTAGTAAATAGGTGTACCATAGGAGTACAGAATTATTTTTGTGAACACAAAATTAAATTATCAAAACGCAGTTAATAAATCATTATCATTGTATCAGACTAGTCTAACATTGGTGGTATACTGTTAATAGCTATGGTCTGCACTTTTTATAAATTAAATTATCAATTACACATGATTACAGTAATCATCAATCACCCACATTGGTGCACATACACAGAGGCGCATTTAAGAAGGGGGACGAAGGGGGCAATTGTTCCCGGCGCCAACATTTTAGAGACGCGTCAAAATTTGTTTTTGTTTTCATGCCTAGTTATATAGTAAAAACAGTACTTAAATTTAAATTGTTGAGTCAGTTCTGAGTTCTGATACACTTAATAGTACTTATGTTAATGGGGAAAAATAATATAGAACGACCAATTTTTCATTTGATATCCTTGATTTATTCTGCGTAGAATAATAATGACCTAGTCTGGTTGTTGAGCTGCGGACTCAATTCAAAATTTAAACTTGTAATCTGTCAGATTGTGATTTCGACTAAGTAATTAAAAATAAGTTATATTTTAATTTATTGTAATTGTTTATTGATTTATTTGGGGGGAGGGGGGGTCGCAAGTAATATATTTGCCCCTGAGCGACTAAAAGCTCTTTTTTATAGTTTGTACGAACTTTTTTTATTTTTGTTTTGATGTAATCAACTGACCAGAAAATTCAAAGCAAAGCGTATACTTTCATACGCTTTTTCTCGTGTTCATTGGTTTTTATAACTGTCACTACTTATATTCCATAAACACTCATGTTATCTATATTGATCCAAAAATAGTTCAGTATAATCATCACTAACCACTTAAAAACCATTTTAACAATTTACTTCGGTCATAGGCGCAAATAAGGGGGGGGCTTGGGTAGGCTTAGCCCACCCAGTTTTTGAACGTAATATCTAATTCCCGAATCCCATTAGTTATGTGTATTGTGTAACGGTTTATTGTCTTTAGAAGTTTAAATGTATCAATAATATGAATATTATCATTATATTATTATCAAACATTTTATTATTTACGGTTAATTATCAAAAATCCAGGTTCATTTTATGAACATTTTATCGCTAATCACGGACGAAGAGTATATAACTAGCCCGTGTCGTTAATATTGTACATAAACAATAAACGTATTGACGGTCTTAGAATAAGATAAGAAAAGTGAAAACCGTAGTCCGTGATATTTGTTTAGCAGGCTGCGTTGAGAGTTTTGATTATAATTAATTTTAGTTTATAAACTATAACGTGTTTTTAATTTGTATTATATCGTAGTAAAGTGTAAACGATTTCAATTTGAATGATGTAAAAGAAGTTGTTGAAAAACAAACATATCCGAACCTTTTTAAATTGTTACAAGTGGCTTTATCTATTCCCATAAGTTCAGCTACTTGTGAAAGATCATTTTCTTCAATGAGACGAATACAAAATTGGCTAAGATCCTCCATGGCACAAGATCGCTTTACATTTTTATCTATTTTGAATATAGAAAGAGATATAACTAACAAAGTAAATGTGGATGATATTTTAAACAAATTTGCAGAAAAGGACAGAAAAATAATTTTAATTTAATTTTGTAATAAATATTTAATAGCCAGAACTGTATATTTTATCAATTACATATTTTTATCCTTTTTTATTCAAATTCATTTAGGTAGCTAGTCTGTAAGTGAAAAAATTCTTCTTTGAAAGTAATTATTAACCATTACAGGTAAGGACTTCTCAGTAATATAAATATAAATATATTAGTGTTGATAATCAATAATGGGGGTATGGGGGTGAAGCCCCCACGAGTCGGTGATAGCATTAAAATGTAGCCCACCCAGAAATAGAGCTCTAGTTGCGCCTATGATTTTGGGTTGGTATAATAAAAACGTAATAATTTGAATAGGCACTGAAATTAAAAAATATTTAATTCAAAATCAAGTTCACATCTTACATGACGCGATACTGATCACTAGAAATGACGTAAAATAAAAACAGTTTCTGAATGACTGATAATCAATTTTGAAGATTCAGTCATGCTGAAACAAATGTTCACACGTTCATAATTTGTTCAGTTGGGTGTTCACCAATTGCGCTTGAAATGACCTTTTCATATAAGTATCAATTGTGCTCATAACATTTTACAATACACAAGGAAAACTTATTAGTTAGTTATAATTAGTGCGCGGATTTTTATGTAATTACATATATTTATTGAATGTGAATTTCTCAATTCTAATTAAAAATAAGCACGTTTCATAATACCCTGAATAATATGAGACCTTCTTTATTTTACATATTTTCACATATTTTGATGTAAATACATATTTTTAAATATTTCATCGATATTTACATATTTTGTAAATATTTCACATTTTCATATCATTTTAATAGTTTTAATTTAATTTACAATTATTATATTGGATTTAAAATGAAAGAAGATATTTCAAATCTTGATTCAGATATTACAATCGCTTTACTTCTGGTACTATATAAAATAATGACTTGCAAAATAATTTAGCATATATTTCCAAAATTATTTTTCTTGGTTAAAATAATAAAATATTAAAAACATTCAATCTAACAATAATTGAAAGTCTCGTGAAAGTGGAAAATGCAAAAATTCAATGAAATTAAGTTTAAGGAGAATCCGAAGTTATAATAAAAATTAATTAAATTACGTACTGGATAATAAACTGGTTTAAAAAAAAAAAATAATTTATTAGATATAATCTTATTAATACAAATGAAAATATGTCAAATTATATTGAAGTAACACCATCCGACATATGAAGTATGAAATATGCCCCATTAACCTCGGTCGACGTTGAATGCACCCTCAGTCGCTACGAGTTGACTTTGAAATTTAACTGCCGTACATAAAAATTAGAAAATCTTTAAATGTACGTCTTATTCAATTGTTATGCAGAAGACAATAATGAAGATGATTAAATAATTAATTATTAATTAATAATTAAAAATTAATGTAAAATACCGATTTTTTTTGTTAAATATTTTACGTTTTTTAATACATATTTTAGTAAAAATAATAACATAAATATTTACATATTTTTACTTTTTTATTACAAAAAAATCCACGCCCTAGTTATAAATATATAATAAATGAATAACCGATTTTTATTTGATTATAAATACATAATATAAATTAATTAATAATTTTTTTTCACATTTAACAAGTTATTTTTTGATCGTCAATTATTCAAAAATAATTATTATAAATATAATAAAAATAAATAATTCACTGACTGATTTCTTTTGCTACTATTTATACACAATATAATATAAATAAATAGATTCAAATTTAAAGTTATACCAGTTACATTATTGTTCACATTAAAATTTTTTACAATAATAAATCAACAACTTTTTCATATCTGAAGCAAATTTGAATAGCGCAATTGGTACATTGACCCTAAATAAAAAATTCTTTTTTAGTCACAATTTCATTGAACAATTTCAATTTTGATGAATCAGACATAGTGAACGTTTTAACTGACACGTGTGAACCGACGGCGCGGTGACACGGAAATTATTGTCGTGAATTCAGTTTCAATAGCCTCTATAATACGCAACTTATTCTCCCCGGCTCCCTCCGTCCAACAAGCCAAACCATTGTATTGGTAGTACACATTCGTCGAGACAGTCTCGGCATGACTTTCGATAAGAATTTAGATCAGGCGAGGAAGCGCGAGTGCACACAGTATATTCTCGCTTCTCGGCTTCGGCTAAAGTGACTAGTCACTTTGGTTATTGACTTGGAAATATCATTTGCACCGGCTCCTGATCTGAATGAAGCTTTTTTTTTTTAACGCAAATGACTTCT